TGAGTGTCATTTGTGTAGGAATATAAAAACCATCTATGTGAATACCTTCCTGCCACTCAAAGGTGGAGAAGCAGAAGGAAACAGCATATAGAGAAGTTGTATTTGATTTACATACTTCACTTCTTTTAACATGGAGAACGATCTTATGTAATACACATGATGTCCACTTTATAAATGAAAAATTAAACACTAAATTCACAGGTAAGTGATAAAGGAGATTTCATATCTATTTCTAGCACCAAGCATTTGATTTCTAATCCATCATTCTATACAAGAAAAAACAAAGATTATCTCAGAACCATAACTCAAACTTTCTTCTCTTTCTGTGAATTCTAAAAGGCACATATGTACATTTGTCCTAAGTGACTTATATGCTATTCCTGTGCAGTATCCTCTTCCCAATGAATTAAATCAAATAATTCCCTTGTGGGAACACTGGAACCCATGACTTGAAAAATTGCCCATGGCAGTCATAACTGCCATTTACAGGATCCACTAGAACATTTCTGCTTATAGCAAAGAGCATTCCTCATGTTCAAGGGTATATTTTCTGCAAAGACTACACTCCAAATCATGCTCCAAACAGACAAACAAAATATGTGTCCTCTATTTGTACCCATGATTATCTGCACCACAGCAAATTTAGAAAATTTCAGTCTTGACCCACAATAAGAATATATTTGGATACTATAGTCATATTTTTAAGTAAATCTTATTTATACTGTCATCTGAGGATAAAATATGAGTAAATCTCACAGCGAGGCTTACATTCTTAATTATGGATTTTGTTTTCAGATGAAAATTCTAGCATCCACCCAATGCACAAAAGACCAGCACATTTAAATGAATCTAGAACTAAAACAAGAGTAATGATTTCATTACTCTTGAAATCATTACCTCCAACTGTACCTCCAAATCCCACAAACCATGGAACTTTATATAGCAAGGAAACTTTTCTAACATCTTTAAATTTTAGATGACATGATAACCATGCAAATCAGGAACTGCCTGAGTACACGAACCACTTGTTTCAAATACCATTTTCATCTGTATCTCTCATCTGTAGATTGTACCAACATCTCATGGTCAGTACAAAGTAAATGTAAATGTATAACCTTTTAAATTGACAGACAAGAATTAAGTAAAGCCTTATATCACTTTTTTTAAAAATGAAGGTTTTAATTTTATTTATTTGCTATTTGTCTTCTTAAATATCCATACCATATTTCTTAAGGCCTTAGGATATTGAACACATTCATACTAACTAGGGCTTTCCCAGGAATTCTAATGAAACAGAATAAGTAAATATAAAACTATACATAAATCATGTGTATGTGTATACTCAGCAAATACATACTGACTTATGCATTACCTAGAATGCCTACCAAACTATTACTAAATTTGTCAGGTCAATGCATAAACATGCTCACCTTCTTGAAAGCAGTTTGAAAATAAGTAGTTGAGTCATCAGCCTAAGGAAGCTCAATCTAAATGCTGTAGCTCATGCCTATAATCCTAGCTACTGAAATCTGGAGATTGTGGTTAAGAGAATCCAGGAGAAAAGTCTGTGAGATTCTAGCTCCAAAATAACCACCAAAAAAGTAAGGGTGGGTATGTGGCTCAATTGGTCTGAAGCCCTCATTTCAAACCTAGTATTCTTTGAGCCACGCCCACCTAAAAACCTCCCCTCCCCCCCTTATTTGTTGTAGTTATTGGGTCTTGAATTTTTTCTTATTTTTTATTATCAAGGCGATGTACTGAGGGGTTACAGTTGCATAACTAAGGTAGTGAGTACATTTCTTGTCTAACTTGCTATCCCCTCCCTCATTTTTCTCCCACTTTCCCTCCCTGACAACTACCCCCCCCCGCCCCGCCAGTTGTACATATCATTTCTACTATAGTGTCTTGTGAGTATCACTATTGCATTGGTTCCTCCATTGTCCTTTGTCTCACCATTTGATCAAAGTCTGCTTGGATAGAAACCTTCTTACCTATGTCTCCTGTGTGCCATTATAACTAGCTTGTATGCTGAAATGAGGGGGTCTTATTTTTTGTTCAGGCTAGTCTCAAACTGAGATTTTCCTGATCTCTGACACCTGAGCAGCAAGGATTACAGACTTGAGCCATTAAGCTCAGCCCTTGTATGGTTCTGAATCCAGAAAGCATTTCCATTATGACAAGTGTTATATCATCATTACAGACTACAGCCAAGGAGCAACTTTCTTCTTTCTTCCTCAGGAAAACGGTAGATAGTCTGAACCATATGTCTCATGCAGAAGACATAAATATTAGTGAAATTACTTGGCTGAGTACTTTGACATATCTCATAGGAGAACCGTTTGCTAATACTATCTTGCCACAGTATTTCTGGGCCAACTTACCACCTTTGTACCTCCCTTCAACTTCAACTCATCATCTCCTCCTGAGATAGGTAAAACAAGGGCTTAATCTACAGTAACAACAAAGGTATGTCTTCTATTCTTCATAGAAAATCTATTGTAAAAAGTCACATGATTAAAATCAATATGCCACTACTCACCCTCATGAAAAAGTCACATGATAAATAACAGACAATCTAAGCATAATTTGACTATAAAATGTGCTATGCATTTGTGTATTTACATGCCTATGTCTAGCACACAGACAAATTCCCATTACTTTAAATTAAACTCAAAATATCACCTAATCAAGAAGTAGAAAATTACTCAGTTTCCTTATCCATAATACTAATGCAAAAGTCAGATAAACCAAGCCACCTGCTTGTGAATTGCCTTGTCACTCCATACAATTTCCTATGCACAAAATTAGATTCCAGTAATGAACAATGAGTCTACAAGCCAACAACCAATGAAGATGTGAGTAGAATACTGAGGGTGCATCAAACAAGGCATTCAATCAGTTGGAACATGCTTAAATTCACACTTTATGTTTCTGTTTAAGAGATCGGAATCTAGCCTGGGCATGGTAGTGAAAGTGTGTAATCCCAGATCCTCAGGAGACAGAGGCTGACGATCCGAGGCTGGTCAAGGTGAAAGCACAAGCCCTATTTTCTGAAAAACAAGCTACATTATAAAAGTGAGGGCATGTAGGTGAAATAAATTTAAGTGATAGAGCACTTGTGTGTGAGTCTCTGAGTTCAAACCGCAGTACCATCAAAGAGAGAGAGAGAAACAGACAGAATCAGGCAGATAGAGACACTAAGAGAGAGAAGCAGCAGGGCGGGCACTAGAATCTGGTCCTATTCATCTGGAAAGTAAATATATTCATTGGATAGAGGATTGACATCTCCTTCTAGGTGTCAATGAGATTAGATGTTTATATTCTATCAGAACTATATTCCTACTACTAGGGATCCACCCAGAAACGGAAATTATATGCCCACACAAAGATGCATATGTTCCCAGCAGCCTTCTTCCTAACAGAAACAACCAGCCTGGTCCATACAATGGACACCATGCAACAAAAATGAAAGTACAAACATCACATAAACTAACAAACTTTTAGCTAATGAATCCAGCAACTGCACTTACAAAACAAAAACAAACAAACAAAATATATAGGCAGAATATAGGGTTTAAATCTCCATGACCTAAGATCTGCCAATGGATTCTTATGTAGACACTTAAAGCACAAACAACAAATCTGCCATGCAAATTTACATATTCCTAGGTTCTAGGATTTAAGGTATTGACATTTTTAGATCACTGTTTTGTCTAACACATCCAATAATCAATAGTATCCTTCAGGAATCGCTTTTAGAAATCCCTGAAGGATAGCAAGGTTGTCAGTCTCATGTGACACCTTAGTCCTGGATGTAACTGGGCACTAAGAAACTGAGGAAGAAATGAGAGAATCAACTGAAAATGAAATGTGTTAAGGAGCTCTAAGGCCAAAACATCCAAAGGCTCAAAGCAATAAAGTGACAAAGGATAACAACAGAGAATGTAATTAAGGAGTTATACATCAGGCATTATAATATCAGAAAAACTGACAAATAAGTTGGAGGCTAGAAAGGTGTTTAAGAAGAAGGAATAATCACTATTAGGAGAAAGTCTTAATAATGGTACTATCAGCACCTATTTTAAAATGACATGTATTTCAAGTTTAGCATATAGAAAACAATTATAATGAATTGGCTATTATTCAGAAAGACAACAATTACTTAACTCGATCTGCCTTGGGCTAAATCATCATTTATCATCTTAAAACTGAAGACACTCAGGAGAAAGTAGGCTTGTCCTCTAGAGGCTAACTAGTAGATTTCAGAGCTTAAAAGCTTAACGCAATAACACAACAATAAATAGACATATAAACAGATCAGAAATGCTGCTGAATATAAATTCATATGACTTAGACACTTCAAATGGCTGAAAAGTTCATTTTGGTCTGAAATTATTTTCTCTCTAGACTATGGCACATATTAAAAATACTAAGTTCGAACTACTGCATTCAAAATACATGCTCAGAGCTTTCCAGTACTAACTGGCTAGTGTTGAATTTTAGCAACTTAAAAGGCTTTTGCTTTAACACAACAGGATTTTCTCTGTATCACTTATAGTATCCAAATATGTCATCTAATTCATTAAGAATTTGTTCTTTAGAATAGTTCTTCATTGATAAGAGGATCAACAGCCTGCAGTCTTTCAGTGAAGAGTCTGTATATTAAATCTGACAAGAGTAATTCATCAAAATTTAGTTCTACATCAGTTGATATTTAGTTCTACATCAGTTGGTATTTAGTTCTACATCAATTGGTATTCAGTTCTACATCAGTTGGTATTTTCCTTGCTTTTGGAGCATTAATGTTGTGAATCTTGTGCATAACCAGTTTTAGATGATCATTTGTCTATTTCCCTTTTGACTGAAAAGACTTCCTTTAGAAGAAGCAATAAACCTTTACCCATTCTGAGGGAATTGTATTTACACCACTACCATGGTAAGAAAAGCACTCATTGTATACCAGGTGAGCTTTACAATTTATGTTATGAAATAATACTTACCAATGCAGACATCAATTTTCCCTTTGATAGCAGCTTCATGCAGAGGTGTGTAGTTCCAGTTATCCCTGGCATTTGGATCTGCTCCTTGGCACAGTAACAGACTCACAACCTCAGCATGGCCAAAAGAACAGGCATTATGAAGTGGGATGAGACCTCCATCATCACGAGCATGGACATTGGCACCCATCTGCAGTAAGTGTTCTACAACATCCTTTCTCCCAAAACCTAAAGAGAACAGGAGAGATGTGGTATACACTGAGTCCATTTTACTTTAAAAAGTCTTTGGAAAACCTTTAACAATATCAACAAATATGCCCAGGAGTATTGTACTTTACAGTAAAAAGGGTGAAACAAAACAAAAGAATGAGCTCCATTCCCACAGATCTTCTCATGCTACAGAAATGGAATTCAGAAAGTTTATGCTCTAGTCATTAGCAGTGAATTCAAAAACCTGTTCTTAATCACTTGTTATTTGGATGGACATCTCTGCTACCATACAAAGTAAAGGAGACAAGACTCCTGTTCAAGGTGCTCATTTTCTCTTTAAGCTTCACAAGACAAAAACTGTATTATAACACTCATCTCCATATTTTCGGAGATTACTTAAATAGTGCTGACAACCAGATCTAGCACAAATCACAAAACACAATATAGCATTAGAAAACGGAAAGGAATGGAAAAACATTGTAATAGTTTAGTTACAGGGGATTCTGAAAAGAAAAACTAAAGATGCTAAAATATCTCTTTTTGGAAGAACTGGTGGCCAAACTATGTGAAATAGGTTGTTCAGTGAAATGAATGCACCTTGGATTGTCTGCCACAAGGCAGATAACTGAAAATGTGGGCATCAGAGAATCAGAATCAGAACACTGGTAAGAAGTATTATAATATTCTTACAGAAAAGGCCAGGTACAGATAAGAATTAGATAAGTTCTCAAACACAGTACAGGCAAACAACTGGAAAAGTAAATTACACCAGGGAGGACAAACCAAGGAGTGAAGGACCAGCAGCCTTAGGCAAAATCCAGTATGATTAGGATTTAGTAAAATCAAGGCAAAAATGGCCATTAATTTTAAAGTAACATGAATGTTAATAATAACATTACAAGCTACATCACAATGGGAAACTGCATATTAGCATCTTTAAAAGATCATGCCTTTGTTAATGATTTTCCCCTTTTATGTTTCATTAGATCTGATTGGCTAGATATCACTGCCTCCATGCTATTACTGACTAGGTAATGTTAGCAGAAAACTAAAAGGCAGTAAAAGAGTTGCATCTTCTTCTTCCATTTATGCATATATTAAATAAGTGAGAACCATGTAGAAAATAGTAAAGAAAGTAGAGATTAATTTCAAGATATGTCCTCCTGCTAGCTATAGAAATTCATTCACTCAGGAAATGCAAATATGAAGTACATGTCTCCAAAGTAAAGCCACGTTTCCATGGTCATGTATTACAATGTCTCTGTGCACAATATCCTGCAAATGAAGCTGATAATTTTGAGTGAAAATAACTAAATTCTGTTAGTCACTGGAACTACAAGTATAGGGAACATGCTAATACAATAATCACCACCTGTGACTTGTTTTTAAATACTAGCCCAAATTTACAGAAGATGTGTTCTATTTAATTTTATGATTTGAACATATTCTTCCTCCCTCTACCATCACTATTCTATTCTTCCACTGTGTCATGGGTACTTTTCTTATCCAATATGAAGAACAAGATATGATTATCTTAATATGTCTGTTGCTACTGTAATAAAGAAGGCAATGATACATTAGAAGAGTCAACAGGATCAGGTCACTTACAGCCTTTCAGTCATGGCAGAATTTGGAAGCGAGCAAGCATTTGTTAGGTAGCCAGTTTAATGTGGCTAGAGCCCAGTCAACAGCAGAGGTGGTAAGATGAGATCAGAAAGACAGGTAAAGCCTTGATTGTGTAGATCATTTTATATCTGATAAGAACGCATTCAGTTCCAAGTTACAACAGCCAACTACAGGAAGGATTCATTTGTCTCACACAACTTGTCTGAAAGAGGCAACCCAGGCTCACTCAGCAGCCTAGCAATGGTTATTAGGAGCCCATTAAGACTCTTTCCACAGACATCCTTAGAATCTGGGTACTCTCTTCCACTTGCTGGTTACCTCATGGTTGTCCTACTTACTCAGACAAGAATAGAACCTAGACATGGAGATACAACAAGAAGCCTTTACAGAAGAAAAGGGCTGGGCTGGGAAGGTGGCTCAGTGGTAGAGTGCTCACCTTGCATGCTTGAGGCCCTGGATTTGATTCCTCAGCACCACATAAGCAGGAAAAAAAAAAGCCGGAAGTGGCACTGTGGCTCAAGTAGTAGAGTGCTAGCCTTGAGCTGAAGAGCTGAGGGACAGCACCCAGGCCCAGAGTTCAGGCCCCACGACCGGACCAAAAAAAAAAAAAAAAAAGGGGCTCTTCCCTTAGCCTTTTTATGATTAAAAAGGAACTGCCTCTCTAAATACTTAACATCTATAACTCATGAGCCAAAAATACTTTGTCCACCTATAAAAACAGGCTGAAAAATCAGATCTTTTATAGTTAAGCAGCTGCCTCAAACAAAAATAGTAAAGAATTAGAAGATGAATTTGGGGAGAATAAATAAGAGTATATAACAGTTTTATAAATTATAGTTAAAATTTTAGACTTCATTGTAAGTATGTGAGAAGTCATTTACAAAAGAAATTACTTTATTCTATGTGAGTATCTGTTTAAGATTATTAGCCAGGTATGTAAAAATAAATTGGAGCTAGGTGCTCATGTCTGGTGTCTGTAATCCTAGCTACTCAGGAGGCTGAGATCTCAGGATCATGGCTTGGCGCCAGCTTGGGGAGGAAAAGCCCTGGAGACTCATCTCCAATTAACTACAAGCTATGGCACAAGAAGTAAGCAAAAAAGCTGAGGGATAGAGGGACAGAGCCCAAACCTTGGGTTCAAGCCCCCGGAATGGCACAAAAATAAACAAAATTAATTAATTAATTTTTAGAAATAAAATAAATTAGAGCCTGGTGTGGTAGTGCAAGCCTCTAAGAACTATGGAGGGAGGTATGATTGAGAGCTTTAGTTTTGGGTCTCATTGGCTAGGTATCACTATCTCAAAATTAATTAAACAAATAAACAGAAGCAGTTAAGAGTAAAATCAGAAGAAAACAGTTAAAAAATATATACCACTGCCTGGGCAAGAACTGATGGTGACACAGAAATAGACAGATGGGTCAAGGAAGAGAGAGCCAGGATAGTTTCCAAAGCAACGATGAGTGTACCAAGGATTTTAGTTTGAGCAACTCAGTTTGTGTGTCCTTTGCAGAAGGGTCAAGTGATAACTATAAAAAGTTCACTTTGAAGAATAACTCCTCCCCAACTGCTAAATTAAATAATACAAGTTGTTAAACTTTGACATTTTCTTTCTTTTTTTTCTTTTGGTCAGTCGTGGGGCCTGAACTCTGGGCCTGGGCGCTGCCCCTCAGCTCTTCATCTCAAGGCTAGCGCTCTACCACTTGAGCCTCAGCCCCATTTCTGGCTTTTTCTCCTTATGTGGTGCTGAGGAATTGAACCCAGGTCCTTATGCACGCAAGGCAAGCACTCTATCACTGAGCAACCTTCCCAGCCTTCCTAAACTTTGACATTTTCTATCCCCTAAATACTCAATAAAAATGATACTATGCCACATATAAAACAAAAAAATTTAAATATACTATGTAGAAATTCTGGTACTGTGAGGAAAATATAAATTCATAACATAGCCAGTAAAATATACTTAATTTTCCTATTCTAATGTTAAAAGGTGTGCAGCCAATGTGAGAGGTATTTAAAAGCTGCTTTTCCTGAAAAACAATGACAACTTACTTGGGTCCATCAAATAACTAAAAACAGGAGAAAAGCTTAACATTCCTGCCTCCATTTTTTAAGTGTCCTTGTTCTAAGCCATTCTCTCTTCAGTGGATTCACAATCAGTCTGTGTTCTGAGGACAGGACTAGATCATAACATCTTTAAGAAAAAGACCCAAACTACCTAAACAGAACACCAGAGCTCCCCAGAACAGGCCACCCAATAGGCAATGATGAGTTATTTATCCTGATTAGTGATGACAGTAACAGAAACTTCTCTGGAATTCCTCCCAAAACTTGATCATCAACCATAATAATTATGCATACCTTTCCTCCCTTTCCCCTAGTTTCTGAACCTTCTCATGTCTGAACCTTCAAGTCAGCTGAAGACAGCTGAAGTGCTATCTTTCCATGGCATATCTGTGCCATGAAATAAATCTCCTTTCTCTTTGCCCTTCTCATATCCCTTTATTTAGTGTTTAGGAGTGAATGGCCAGATCTGATATGTGGAAACCCAAGAAGCCTGGGGCCATCCAAAGGCCATTCAAAAAATGTTTTACTATCCAATATAGGTCATTGGTATATATTGCCAGGTCTACATGCAGAAACAGAAAGTTGTTTCGCTTATGTTCAGCATTTTAGATTTGCCTAAAATTAAAGCTTCAAAGAAACAAGCTTGGCTAATATTAAAATTTGTAACTCAAAAAAAAAGCTTCCAAAATTTAGTAAAATGAGGAAAACTTAAGATGCTGAGAGTATTTTAAACTGATGTGGTAAGCAAAGTCATTGTTAAAAGGTGATTCTCCCAGCTGAACTACTATCAAAGCTACAGTGAAAACACTTACACGTACACACACAGCCCTATCCAGATAACTAGTAAGAGATTTCTGCTACTTTATGATAAATATTCTGTGATAAATAAAAGCATATTTTTTACTTAATATTCAGTCATAAACTGCTTCTTTTTCAATTTCAATAATAACCATAATAGCTTTTATTCATTACATGTTAGCTTTTGATTGCTTAATCAGAAGTCACAAAGGGGAAATATATTTCCTGTTGTTTTGAAAATAATTTTAGTAAACAACAAAATGATTTGTGATGTTGCATAGATTTATCTGTTGTCAAAAGTAAGCAGTGATTATTTTTTTCCATCTTATATAACTTGATTAGAAAAAGGAAAACATGCTTAGGTAAAAGTATTTAATCAAACATTATAAATAAAAGAATGTGCCCTCCCTAAAACCAATGGAAAAATTATCAGAAGCAAAAGGACCAGCAAAGACAACAAAGTATTTAATCAAGCATTATAAATAAAAGAATGTGCCCTCCCTAAAACCAATGGAAAAATTATCAGAAG